CGTCGACAGGGGGTGCCTTTTCGACAGGAGTTTCTTCGGCAGCTGAGACTACTTCAACGGGATACTCTTCAGTGACGGGAGTCTCCTCGGTAGCAGGTACTTCGGCAACAGTAGCTCCTTCGACAACGGGCGCCCCTTCAATAGCAGCTACTTCATCCGTAACAGTAACCTCTTCGACAACTGGAGCTTCATCAGTGGCTGAGGCGTCCTTGACAGCATTAGCAGCGGCAGCAGTAGTGACAGCGGCAGCGGCAGCAGTAACAGCAGCGGCGGCGGCAGTAGCAGCAGTAGCAGCAGTAGCAGCAGCGGCGGCGGCGGCAGTAGCAGCAGCCGCAATAGCAGCATTAGCAGCAGCCGCTTCGGCCGAGGCATCTTGGACAGAAACCCCTTCGACGACGGGGGCTGCTTCAGCAGGAGCCTCTTTAGTAGCTAGAGCCTCCTCAGTGGCAGGGACTACTTCGACAGCTGAAGTCTCTTCAATGGCGGGAGCGTCTTCTGGAAGGGCTTCACTCGCAGGATTTTCTTCACTTGAAGGTGTCTCTTCAGCGGCAGGTGCCTCTTCTATCACAGTCGGAGGGGCTGTTTCCTCTTCTGCAGGTGCCTCGACGGCAGCGGCGGTTTCTTCAGTAGCAGGAACCTCCTCAGTCACGGGAGTCTCATCAACAGCAGGCGCCTCTTCTGGAGCTGGTGCCTCGGAAGAGGAAGCAGCATCCGCTGGGACAATTGGTGGTTCTTCTACAGCTGGTGTCGGTTCCTCTGCAGGTGTCTCTTCAACAGTGGCAGCAGGAGTGTCTTCAACAGCCGGCGCTTCTTCGTTGGCAGACGTCGCGTCAGTGGTAGAGCTCTCTTCAACCGCAGGAGGCGCATCCTCTGATGAAGGCTCACCTTCAGTGACAGTCTTTTCTTCAATAACAGGTTGTTCTTCAGCGGCAGCGGCCTCTTCAGGGGCTGCTAGTGTTACGTCTGCCTCATCACCAGCGGTAGCGTCCCCAGCGGGCTTTGCCTCTTCGGCCTCGGCCTCTTGTGGTTCAGATGGTACCTCGACAGCGATCTCAGCTTCAGGCTCAGTAGCAGCAGTCTCGACCGCAGGAGTTTGGTCTGGCTCTGCGACTGGGGCTGGCTCTGCAGCTGGTTCTGGGGCTGGCTCTGC